AGCTTCATATGAAGCTCAACTTCTCTGCATATGAACAGCCACACAATCATACACTTGACCTTACAGAATGAACTTACATCTGTCCTAATCACCACCTTAACATTTTTCAAACATAAATCACAAGTTTATAAATCATCAACAATCATAGTACATTAATCAAAAGAGACATTATAATAATCATTGGTTAAATTGGATACACTCTTGAAATTGATTACATTATTTCATCATATTTCTTCTTGCTGCCTTCTCATCCTCTTTACCCCTTGACCTTCGTTCTTCTTATGATGTCCTCGTTTCCTTTCTGGGCCTCGTTTCTGTGGGGGTAAAACTCATTGGATCTGATTCCAGAATTATAAGCATCCTGGGCTCCAGGTCCTCTTGACAGTGTGCGTGCGTATTTCTGCTCATTAGTATTTGATCCAAGTCAGGTTTTCGGTCACGTATGTCTGTCTGTCATTCTGTCTGTGGACAACATTACTCAAAAACTTGTGGACAGATTGTCATGACATTTACAACACTTGTGGTTACTGGCACTAGTAACACACCGTTAAATTTTGGTGATGTTCCGGATCACGATGCAGATACAGGATTTTTTTTTCTTTTGATCCTCTCAGATCAGCAAAGCTGTGATGCTTTCACAGGGCTTCTGTAAAAACTATGACAGCTTTCAGTGTTTGGATTTCAAACTTTATAAAAGTAAAGTTAAAACCAGATGTAATGATGAATAATTCTTGCCATAATGTGTGCATTTTTATTCATTTGGTGCACATTTAGAGAACGTTTTGTGACCAGGAATTGCGTGACTGCAGCGTGAAACCTATTTTTCCCATTTCCTCAAACACACCACATTGTCAGTAGGCTTGTACACAGATCGATGAAGATTGAGGAAGAGGAGTGACGTGGTGGACTTCAGACTCGGAGGTTGTTTGTTTGTTTATTTGTTTGTTAATTTCGTTATTATTTAAATGAGGCCAGATCAAGTCGAGCTATTTGTGCGCCCCTCTATCCACCTCTTACCAAACTTTGGGGGAAAAAGAATGCGCAGAGCCTGGTTGTGACCGCTGTCTGTGTTCCTCACAAAGATAGGAAGAAGCGTGTGTGTCTGTGTTATTACACGCGCAATGAAAACTCTGCTTTTTTGAATCACGTAGCACCGATGCGAAAGCTTTCAACAACAACGTCGGTTAACGTGTCTGACTTCTTTCCTTTTTTTTCACACTGGACTCCACCAGGAAGAAATCCCGTGCATACTGCCTGCTTAAATGTTCGCTACGTCAGAACTTATTCGGCAAACGTGTTTCCATCTCTGCTTTTGTGCATTAACTCTATAACAGGATGGGAGGAATTGGTCTTGGCGGAGGTTTGCACTCTCCGAGTGCTTCTAGTTATTGTTGGATTTCACATCTTCTGCACACAGAAAGCACAATGTTCCAAATATTGTGTACTTTGTTTGTGTTGGTAAAAAAATTTGGCTGACACTTCCAGTTCTTTTATTGTTCGTGGTGTTGCCATGTCGACTTAAAACTTAAAACAATTGCCTGTCAGTCAGGACTAACTCTGAATTTAAAATATTGAGTAACTTCAAACCTGCAGACTTGATAAAAAAAAGCTGGAGAAAAAAAAATCACGTTTTGTCAAAACTATCCAAAACAAAATCTCTAAGCCTCATGTCAGGTGACCTAAACATTTAAAAGATAAACTCCTTCAGGTTTTCATCATATCAGATTTGTTGAAATAAGTTCTGTAAAACCTGAAACACGCAGCAGAGGCAGGAAGGATGGAGTGGAAGCTGGATGGTTCTGCAACACCTCGATCTGAGAAGGTTGAACACTTTGTTTCAGTTTCTGTTGTACTTTCTGATTTAATATATATATGAAAAGTTTTGGGACCAGGAGAAAACAAAGGAGTGTAGAGTCAGTGATGAATAGAAGTGGTTGGGGTTTTTTGTAAATTTCCTGAAATGGAACTTTCTCCTTTTCTGTCCTCAGTTATGTAAGACGTCAGTATGTGAGCAAAGAGCCCAGGAACAATTAGCCCTCCTTTCACTGGGACACTAATGCCTCACACATTAATCTGATTTTAACTCTGCTATTGTTAATTAAAAATAACTGTCAAATCATTTTGCAGCTCAGCCAACTTTCCTTTTGCACATTATGGACCACAGGCGTTGTCTGGGAGATTTTTTTTTTTATTGCTTGAAGGTCTGCTTGTGCCTGTTCTGTAGAGATAGTGGTGAAGTCCAAAACCCATCTGAGTGCTATCTGAGCCCAAAACACACACACAAAAATACACACAATACACACAATGACAGGTTGTTGGAAACAGCATTTACACATAGAGGGCAAGCTGTCCTGGACACACAGTGGGAGTGGGGGTGGGGGAGCGGAGGCAGGAAATAAAACAACACAGAGAAATCAAGAAGGCAGAGATCTGTGTGTGTGTGTGTGTGTGTGTGTGTGTGTGTGTGTGTGTGTGTGTGTGTGTGTGTGTGTG